TATTTTGTTCTGCTTCTGTTCCTAAATTACACTGGAAATTTATCCTGGAGCCTTATTAGTTATTTACGCAGCAGGCGCATCCAATTGTTACTGTAACTCTGTGTGCGTGTGTGCAAGCGTGTGTGTGTGTAAATGTGTTTATGCAAACGCCCTGGCAACATTTGTGCAGCTGTGGCCGTTGTTGCCTTTATTGTTGTTGCTGCCAGTTGATGCGCCCCGCCACCCGTTGCAGATTTATTGCCCGCAGTAGTTTTTAGTGCTTTGCCTTTGTTTCGCTTTATTTTGCAGTGTGTTTTTGCAATTGTTAAGAGTTTACGGCGTTTTTGCTGCGGCTGCACCATTTCGCACACTGTTTGCACCAGGAACGCCGTCCCACAAGTATTTTTGTTGCATATTTATTTGGTTGGCGCGTTGCGAGTGGCAGCCAAAACATTTTTGTGTGGCAGTTTGCGATTTTGTCGTTGTGATTTTACTCCTTTGCTCTTGTTCTCTTTTTTTCTGCATTCTCCTTTTTTTACTGCAGTTGCAGCTTAATTAAACGTGAAATATTGAATTTCCAGATGGTTGCGTGTATGGAATTGCGACTACGAATAAATATCGGATGAGATGCAGTAAATCAACGTAAATATTAGAAGACCCCCAGTTTAATATGTACAAATATATACATATACATATACATAAATGACAAGTCGAAATGGCCAAACGAGAAACCTGACTAAGAAACATTTTTTAATTAAAATTCAGCCCAACTTCATTCAGCTCGGAAAACTTCCTTTTTGTGCAAAATATATATGTGGATATAACTCAAGTCTCGTTATGTTACTGTGTTGACTCTTAGTCATTGATAACAAACCAAACAATTTTAATAACATTACTTTGTTGCTTCAAATATGAAAAATAAAATCGAAACACAATGCGCCAGGATTCAATTCCAAGAAAAGCCAGTCAAGTTTGGCCTCTAGCTGTTCTTTTTAAAAACTGGTTGCGTGCAGGATGGTAGGTGATATACATATGTCAAAGCGGTTGAAGAAGAAGTCATTTCCATATGCTCTACCCTAGCAGCATTACGCCTTACTGTTAAGCAACTTCATTAAGTCCCTTTTGATAGTTTATCTCATATATGAAACCATCTGAATGATATTGTAACTCGTCACAGACTGCTAGCTATGACATATGATAGTCAACTCCAAAAAGTCAACTCAAACCTTTTTTGTCCATATACATCTCCGGCTTATCGGAAAAGATGCGAGCTACGCATCACTATGGGATTCCAATCTTGGGTAGTGCCAGCCATTCCAACTGTAACATTATAATAATATTTCAAAATAGAGCGCTTAAAATGATTTCCAACGCACATCTAATGCACTCAGACATGGAAAAGTCTCTTGAGTTCATCAGGGGATTTCCCGGCTAACCCAAGCCAACATGGAACGACCAGATAGAAAGTCCAACTCCATTTCAATCCGCTTGTTAACTGCACCGTCAAGCAGATTTCACTCGCTGGATCTTCAAATCGTTGCGAGCCCCCGTTGAGCCCCCTATCTGCTCCAAACTCGTATCCTTTAGTCATAAAATACATATGCAACACCATGCATAAAAATATACATAAATATTATAAATAAAAATTCAGAATAAAAACTCATTAGCTGAGACTTCAAGTACTTGATATCCTACAAGTGATTGCATAGTACCTTAAATCATAACCGGCAGCTAAATACTTTGAATACAACTCTGATTCTGTTGCTAATTTTTAATCCAATTAGTAGGATTAATCAACGCTTATTTGTTTAATTAAACCGCATATTGAAATTCAAAGTACGAATGTGTTCGCATTTCAATCCACACGGCTTGAAGCACTTGAGCGCAGTCTACTGTTTTTTGGCAACTCACAATTGCACTAATTGGGCAAATTATTTCAGCTATTTAGGGAAGCTCGAGCTATTCTAGCCAACATCTTGTGTGGAACACTCACACAAAGACACAACATTCCGACATTGCCGAATTACGCTAATGATAAATAAATTATGCGATGCCAGCAACACACAAACGAATCATCCCCATGCCCACACCCATTCGTGCCCTGCCCCAGCTCGCTCCACAGCAGATAGAACAAACCACAAACAGAAAATAAATAAACTCGTTGGCAATGCCGAAAGATAAGTATGCGCCCCGTGGCCCCTGCACACATTAAGGCACTTGGATGAGGTCCTGGGCAGCGGGCGTGCAGCGAGGGCGTGGGCATTACTGAAAGCAAACGCACACGCGTTAATAAACAAAATCTGTTGCTAATGTACAAAATAAGTTAATTATGGAAAAGCGAAATGCGAAAATGCTGCGCTGATGGTGACAACTTTTGCAGCTTTTGAAATTCGAGCTGCCATTTTGACTTCAGATGTATGCGCGAGGCGATATGCTTGCGTGCGTATGTGTGTGTGTTCCAGCATAGCTGTTATTGCACTGGCACTGGCATTAATGTGCTTGCGATGCGCTTTGCTTGTTTGTGCACGATAATTGTATTTTATGGCAACAAACAACAGACAAACATGAGACGCACAAACAAACAAAAATAAACCCAGCTACGTATCCAAAGCACAATTCATTGTTGAGGTCAACTCGGCAAACGGACGAGAGCCGCAACAGCAAACATATATTACAAATTGCATTAATAATAAACAAATACAGACACAGACTGATAGACCACATCACGCCACCTGCCCAGCTGCTGACCTGCCTATCAGCCCACCTGCACAGCCATTTCAACTCACAGCTTTGAACAATTTTCACGAGCTGTGAATCATTTTTGGGCAAAAATCGCGTGAGCATATTTATCATATTTATCAACGCACCCGACACACAATTTGAAATTGATGCGACAAAAATGTTTATGTGCACAAACCGTGAAATTTGCATATTTTATTTGTAATTTGTTAGCCGCTTGTCAATATTATTTTGCAATTAAAATTTAATTATATTTTCCTCAAGCGCGTCATTTTATTATTTGTATTTACTGATTGCTTTCCCCCCTCGCCTTGGCGACCAGCTCGCCGCCCACCTGTGCCCCGGTTGCAGCAAATATATTTCGCAAATATGCAATGCGGCCGACAATGTCAGTCAGAGCTCGACTAAGCCGAATGGTATATCAAATTATGGTTGATTGTCCATGTGGATTAAAAAAATATAAATCGCTTAGCATGCGGTTTGTGCATGCATTTGAATGGCATCAATTTCGCATACAAATGCCATTTCTAGAATTTCCAGTGGTAAATGAAATTATTTTCTTTTTATATTTGCAATATGTCATCGATATTGAATTAATGTCTGAAACTAGCTCTTGCGGAAGAGTTGCACAAATTAAATTCAGCTTTGAATTCACTCAATTCTTAGCGATACAAATGTATTTAGCAGTCACAACAACAAACCCTACGAACCATTAACTCCGAGCATTGGTTGCTTTATTCTGTTAACTCTGGAACTAGATTTCTTCTCGGCTTTTGGGGTGAGCAATCTAATGTTTTCTAAATTTAAATATGCCATGCTCTCATGAGTGCCTAACCCTTATCCCTGACCACAAGCCACCAGCAATTCGCCAGATATTGGATACCAGAAAATACGTTTAGAAAACAATGACCGTCAATAATCCTATTGAAATGTGCTGCACCGCTGTAGCCCTGCTTAAATCCTTAAGCGATTGACTGTTCATTAACGACCACGTAGTGCTTGCAGTAGGACGAATAGAGATTTGTAATGCTGCAATGCCAATGGCGTTGGCGCTGCCACGTTGAGTGGTAAATGAGCAGTTTCTAGGTTGGCGACACCATTAAAAACTTTTTACAAGCATTAAGCATCAACATGACGACGACGCCGACGCCAACGATTGGCATTGAGCAGCACTTTGATGGGGCTCTGATTTCGACTTCTATTTCGATTGCGTTGCGTTTACGGAATGTCATCGACAGTCAGTTGGCTGCAGTCTATTCCCAGTCTATATATATCTATCAGTCGCTCAGCCGCTTGGTCGGTTTGTCTGATTGCCTGCCAAGCCATGGCAAGCACATCGGCGCCTGTCACCATGGCATTGTCACCTCCTCCACTAGGCAGCAGAAGAGTCGCCCCCTTCGCCCGACTGCCTGACTGGCTGTCAATCCTTTTAATGGTTTGCCGCTTTTAATGTCACCCGCTCTCAAGTGGATTTCGAATACTTCGTCAATCGTGTGGCCCATTGGCCGTTATCAAGTGGCCACGCTCCTTCTCCGTGCTGTTGTTGTTGTCGTTGTTGTTTTATTTGTATTTTATTATAGCAAAAGTGTTTGTTTCAAATGTCATTTGCTGCGTCTCAGCCACTTCACTTCACTATTAAAGTGGTTTTTATAGCTATATTCAAGAGTGTCACACTCTTTAATTTTATCCAATCTCTCTGTTTCTCTGTCTGTCTCTCTGTCTGTCTGTCCGGTAGCTGTTGAGCTGTTGTCATTTAACTGAGAAGCTTTATAAGTTTCTTAGATTGCTATGGCTGCTTATGGCTGGCAAATGGATGCAATTATCTTAACCCTATGAGTTGTCCATGCAACTTGAGCAATTTGAAAACAGAAAACAATTTATGCTGAATGAATGCGACTTCTCTCTTGCTCACAGCCATCACAACGATTTGTATTTCTAGATTGCCACAAGTTCTACCACACAATAAAAATAAAAATAAAATATCATTTAAATAAACAGACTTCAGCCAGTTTAGTTTGTAATCGATAAGAGATTGTAAAGAGATTTTAGTTAAATATTTACTCTCATTCAAAATGGTCATTCTGGGTATAATATTATATATATTATATATTATATATATTATTATTTTCCTATATTTGTATACATATATATAATATATATATATATATATATAAAAGCCTATTCTTAGCTGAATTTTATTTTTCATTCTCAACTCTGGCAGGAAAATCTATAAATATTTATCTATAAGAAGTAACAGTAGATTAAACAATGTGTCAACTTACCCATGGTCGAGAGAGTGAGGATCAAGACAATTGCATGCCAGATCAAACCGTTTCTAGCCTGGGCGGTCCATCCGCTCTGACGTCGCTTTCGCGACTGTCTAATTCCGTGTCCTATGATTGCGTCTGCGGGCCGCTCTGTCATTTTGCGTGCAGTGGCTGACAGGCCGTTGGGCATTTGGCGCAGCAACATGATCGGGGTCGGGCAGTATCTTTCACTCGCAGACAGGCAACATTTGCGGCTCATTCAATAAACACTTCAACTTCACACGCTGCGCCGCTTGTCGGCCGGGGCACAGAGACTGTTTACAGTTAGCGATTGGGGAATATGCGAATTATTAATGCGCGCTGTGGGAACAAATCGCTTTGAATGTTCGGCGGGTACGCTCATCAGCCACAGCGGCTGCCGCCACTCGAGTTGTTGGCCCCTAATAAGCGGCCAGAAAATTTCAAAATTTGTGTTTGACTCTCGATCCGAGCGTCGTTGGGCTGCACTGAAATTCGCTTTTGATTTGCACTTTTCGGATTTTCACATTTTTTGTTGCTCGTTCGCTTTCAGTTTACAACTTAATTTCCGGCTTTTAATTGTTTTTCGTTTGTTTGGGCGGCGTCCATTTGGCCACAGTCCTTCACTTTACACTGATTATAATCCACGGAATTGAATTTAATGCGGCAACAATATTTGCTCTCGTGTTGGCTTTCAGCTAATTGTTGGTGTGCATCCAGCTGTTGTTGCCGGAAGTGCGCTGCAAGTGCAAGAATAAACACTGTTGTTTAGCTATTGTTGTTGATATTGTGATAGGCATAAAACCAATTTGATGGCCAGCGAGCGAGAACAAATGCGACGGGTGCACACGCAATTTGCCGGTCTGAAGCGTGCCTAGGACAAGTTGACAAACGACTGAAAGCTGTTTGTTGTCGCCTCTGCTCCGAGCGCACAGCTCCGAAACACACCCCGAAATAATGGTGTGACGTAGGCGGGCAGAGCGATTCCAAAAAAAGAACTGGAAATGTTGCCAGACATAGCAACAATGCTGCTGAGCATTGTTGCTAGGCATGTTGCTAAGCAACCCGACGACAGCGGCTGAGGCTGTGGCTCGAGCAGCAGACAGGAAACAGCGCTAAGCAAACATGACAAGCGATCATAAATATAATGTTGCAACATCAAAAACAAAAAAACCAAGCTAACAAATAATGAACGAGATTCGCTTGAATTTGCGCAATGCCAACAACAGCCGTAACATGCGTCTCTTTAAGCACCAGCAAATTTTTTGTTTTTGTTTATAATAATGAGACTGTGCACAAGTGGCTGCACGGCACTTGAGCCCCAGCTGCTGCAAGGATAAGTGTGCGACGCCTTTCAGGCTCATACACATACCGCCTTCCATTCTGCGCATCAAGCGCAATTTTAGCTGCCACTCAATGTGGATGCTGGCATAAGCAACACACTGCTGTTGCACACTCTATGGCAGTTTGTTTATTTAAGTTTCAATTACTCAGCTGCCCTCAGATTGACATGCATTCAAGCCAGAAATTTGCAGCCTTTGTTTCCCTTCGCTCAATGCATGCCTTTGTGCTTGCCTCACATCAGAAAACATAATTGCCGCCGCACAAGTGCCTTTAATGTGCTGTGGTTGTGGTGCGGGCGCTGCTGGAGGTAGCACATCATTAATAAAATGCCACTTTAGTGCACCGCTGCTCGTGCCAATGCTACTGCTTCTCAAGTGCACTGACTTCAATTGGGAGAAAACATTCTGCCAAGCATTCATAACGCTCATTGGCTACCAGCGCTCAGCTGCTACAACCACCGTCTTGGTGGCCATGTCCAATAGCCATCTTTATGTAGCCCACACACTGCACCCGTTGTGGCAATGAATGTGGCCAATGGCAATGGCAGGGGCACTGCCACTGGCACTGGCACTGGCGCTGACTCTAGCAGCTTATCGACTGCTGCAGTTGCTTCGCTCGGCCTTTATGGTCGCCTGCACACCTTAATACACGGTATAAACAGATAAAAACCAAAATATAAATAACCTTATACATATTTATATATATGTATAACCCATACACACACAGATGTGGACCGTATATGTACCATATATGGCAGAACATGCCCATGCACTTAGCTATTTTATTGGGCAACACGGAACCCCTTGACAAGAGCAACACGTGCGATTTGAGAATTTTATAAAAGTGTTTATTAGCCCGCTCAACTGTCGTTGGTCGTTGTGTTCGCTGCTGTTGTTATTATGTTATTATTTAGCCAGGAGGCAGCCATAAGAAGACGCCAGCCAGGGGGAGTTGCTCCCTGTTCCGTGAGCACGTCATGCCGCTGACATTGACGACGCCGCTGTGAACGACAAATTTTAGTGCTTCAATGAAAATTGAAACACATAAAAATGCGTGAAAACACACAATTAAATGGAGGGAGTGGCATATGCCTGTCTCTCGCAGGCACCGAGCCACCCGTGGCTCCCCTCTTCGCATATATAATGTGTCGTCTGTTGGGATCTTTAATTACAACTTTGTTATGTGTTTCCGCTCTCAAGGCCAAATTGTATAAGGCCACTGTATGTTTAATGTGTATTTACTTCTTTTTATAATTTTCAACAAAGGTTAATTTTGAAAGGTTATTATTTGAAAACAATTGAAGCTTCATTGGAATCGCATCGGAAACTAATCGAATTTAATGAAATCTTAAAACCAAGCATCAAACTTTTACTATTTACATATTATATATATTTCTTATTTTGAAGTGTTGACACTGCATCTAAAATTAGCTCAAGTTTTCGAGTATTTAAATTCATGTTAAAAATGAGAAGAATAAGTTTTTCGGGTGCATTTCAGTAGGGATATTTTTAGAGAATCTCAGGGACAACACATTTTCTTTTAATTAAAAGCAATTGTGGAAATGAATAAATATAAGATAAGAAATATACATAATATGATAGGGTGTTATTAGTATTGGATTTGCATTTTTACCTATTGACTCCTGTGCTATGCTGTGCATTATGATAAGAACTAATTTTAGCCTAATTTATTGCCAACAAGAGAGCAAAATATATATGTGAAACCCATCAATGACACTAATATCTAATACAGTATAATATATAATCCAACTGCACATATGAAGGTGTCAATTATTATGATTGAAGTCTTGACAAAAAGAACACTGACACATTCAGCCGAGTATCAAGTCTCTTGCTCAGTGGCATTATGACTGGACCACTTATATATCCAAGGCAGTTAATTATCAGAAAGCTGAATGCAATTCTGATTGCATTACTTTAAGCCTTTTATCAAATAAATGGCATAGAAATTTGATATTTTCTTGATTGCATTTATTTGAAAAACTACTCACATGGCCAGAACCATCAATTAGAAACGCACAACAAGGACGTCAGTTGCGCAGATTGTTGCTTCATTAAAATACTGAATCGGGGACACATATGCCAGCACCTTAATTCTTTGTTGTGTCACACAATCGGTAGCTGGGAGCATGCAATGACAACGCCCCACAGAGAGCCACGTCGTCTGCTATTGAATAAACATCGCCCATTGTCATACCCTGAGATGCAAATTGTCTTTGACATGGGCAAGTACAAGATAATATTTCTCTCCTGCATGCACACAAGCACACGTACACATACGCATCGCCACCCTTCAAGGCTGTTGCTGACAATTTCCGGTAACAAGTCGGTCGATCGGTCGGTCGGTCGGTCGGCTTGCCAGTTTGTCTAGTTGCCTGTCAATTGTGTCTCTCTCTAGCTGTATCAAAACTTCAGCTCTTTGTGACAATGTATGAGGCTTGGTTTGGCCTACTCCAAAGGCAATTACACCTTGTTTTCGTTCGACTGAGGTATTCAATCGATTTTACTTTACTCTGTACATACCAAGAAGAATTTATTACCAACACCTAAATGTATATATTTTCTAAGACAATATTTATTTATGGAAATCACATATTCGATGTAAACTAACAAATAGTAACAGCTAAGCCAGCTAGAACTTCTCTTAAAAAATATTAAAAACATTCGTCTCCATTGTGGATTCTTCGATGTCTTATAACATGTACATATTAACTAAAGATTTCTCCTTATTGTTGCTAGTTACAGCTGTCTATAGGCCAATATTTATGTATAGATATTGAAAACCTTAAAGTTATTTTGGCAGTAATCGAAAAACTAGAATAGCAATCAGTTTTTCTAATTACACCCACAGTAGGGTATTGCCTAGTCAACATGGGAGCTAGCATTGGTTGCCTGGATTCTTACGCTCGACTGCATTTCATCAAATTTACATTGTTGCTTTACCAAAATTGAAAAGTGTTTTTCAGTTCTTTCTGTTCGGTGTGTTTTGCTCGATTGTATTCTGCTTGGGCACTTTTTGAAATGCACATATTAATGAGACTGGCATCTTGTTTATTCATTGGAATTTGTCGCAAAATTTTGCCATTTCAGATGTTGGCCCACATGCCGTTGCCAAATACACCTAATCCTTGATAACAGATAATGAAACAAGGCCGCTACAGTTGCCCTTCCCCCAGCTGATCCATTGTTGCTCACAAAATACCAAAGCAATTCTTGCGATTCGCTCTAAACGCTCTGACATGAAGTCAAGTGTAAACTCAAATGGGTCTTTTGATTAGCGGCGAGCATTAATTATATGCACTAATTAATGTTCTAAGCCGCACAAGCGGCATGTATCGCAAATGATAAATCATGCGGCAAGCATAATGCAGCTTTGTGCGTGGCACACACATCCATACATCCACCTAGCCTTACATACACATATTCATATTCTATGAATCGGCAGCTGATGGAAGCATGCAACACAAGGCAAGCAGCCACCGATTGCCTGCAGCAAGTGGTGAAATGCACAAATGTTTGCCTTGTTTGCAGTCGCACGCAGATCGTATAACCAGTGTAAACAATTTAAAAAAATATATATTTTGTTGTGTTTGCAGTGCATGAAACTATTTATTTTCGCTTGTATATAGGTGACTGGAAAGCGTGAGCTAATAATTACATAAATATGTCCACAACTGCACACATATAATAATATGTACATTAATGTGTTGCTACTTTTTATTATGCGCAGTTGCTAAAAAATATAAAAAAATAACTTGTGCAATTTAAAATACATTTATCACATGTCGAAATGGAAAATACAAACTCTATTTAAATTGAATTGTGGCTTCAGAGGCAACTTTAAATAGAATTTTAGTCTGATTTATTATAAACCAAATAAAAATTTTATTATTACTTAAACAACGCAAATAGTTTCATGTAAAATGAAATTGAATTCTATTTTTTCTACTAGGCCAGGCCTACGCTTTTCTGCTTTCTTCCCTGTCTCGAATTGACGATAAATTCGAAAGAAGCGCCACAAAAACGACGCCAAAAAACATGGAAGCCATTCGCAGCGGAATGAAGCAAAAGGCAACCACTTCAAAAAAAGAAGAATCTTAGCGAAATCCAAACAAATTTTTTGAACGTCTGCGCTAGAGAAATGTGGCTCGTCTGCGTTCAATATTTACTTGGGACATTGGCCGTGGGTGGGTGGGCGTCGCAAATTTGCGTTCGAAACATAATAATCATTGACCTTTTTATGGCTCCGGTACGCGCTTTTTAATAAATTGTTTACTTCCTAGCCTTGTGGACCGACAGGCCGATGGCAAAATCAATGCCCCAATAAATTGCTGCAATAACCATTGAAAATATCGTCACAATTCGGACAGTTTTTG